TGTGATGTGGTTAGTGATGGTGTGTGTGTGTGTGTGTGTGTGTGCGCTTAACGCTGCTGGTGTGTGAGTGTGTGTGTATGTGCGAGTGTGTGAGTGTTTGTGTGTGTGTGTGAGTGAGAGAGAGAGTGTGAGTGAGTGAGTGTGTGTGCGTGTGTGAGAGAGTGTGAGTGTGTGTGAGTGTGTGTCAGAGAGTGTGAGTGTGTGTGAGTGAGAGAGTGTGGGTGAGTGTGTGAGAGAGCGTGAGTGTGTGTGTGTGTATGTGCGAGTGAGTGTGTGTGTGTGTGTGCGTGAGTGTGTGTGAGTGTGTCTGTGTGTGAGTGAGAGAGAGAGTGTGAGAGAGTGAGTGTGTGTCAGAGAGTGTGAGTGTGTCTGTGTGTGAGTGAGAGAGAGAGTGTGAGAGAGTGAGTGTGTGTCAGAGAGTGTGAGTGTGTCTGTGTGTGAGTGAGAGAGAGAGTGTGAGAGAGTGAGTGTGTGTCAGAGAGTGTGAGTGTGTCTGTGTGTGAGTGAGAGAGAGAGTGTGAGAGAGTGAGTGTGTGTCAGAGAGTGTGAGTGTGTCTGTGTGTGAGTGAGAGAGAGAGTGTGAGAGAGTGAGTGTGTGTCAGAGAGTGTGAGTGTGTCTGTGTGTGAGTGAGAGAGAGAGTGTGAGAGAGTGAGTGTGTGTCAGAGAGTGTGAGTGTGTCTGTGTGTGAGTGAGAGAGAGAGTGTGAGAGAGTGAGTGTGTGTCAGAGAGTGTGAGTGTGTCTGTGTGTGAGTGAGAGAGAGAGTGTGAGAGAGTGAGTGTGTGTCAGAGAGTGTGAGTGTGTCTGTGTGTGAGTGAGAGAGAGAGTGTGAGAGAGTGAGTGTGTGTCAGAGAGTGTGAGTGTGTCTGTGTGTGAGTGAGAGAGAGAGTGTGAGAGAGTGAGTGTGTGTCAGAGAGTGTGAGTGTGTCTGTGTGTGAGTGAGAGAGAGAGTGTGAGAGAGTGAGTGTGTGTCAGAGAGTGTGAGTGTGTCTGTGTGTGAGTGAGAGAGAGAGTGTGAGAGAGTGAGTGTGTGTCAGAGAGTGTGAGTGTGTCTGTGTGTGAGTGAGAGAGAGAGTGTGAGAGAGTGAGTGTGTGTCAGAGAGTGTGAGTGTGTCTGTGTGTGAGTGAGAGAGAGAGTGTGAGAGAGTGAGTGTGTGTCAGAGAGTGTGAGTGTGTCTGTGTGTGAGTGAGAGAGAGAGTGTGAGAGAGTGAGTGTGTGTCAGAGAGTGTGAGTGTGTCTGTGTGTGAGTGAGAGAGAGAGTGTGAGAGAGTGAGTGTGTGTCAGAGAGTGTGAGTGTGTCTGTGTGTGAGTGAGAGAGAGAGTGTGAGAGAGTGAGTGTGTGTCAGAGAGTGTGAGTGTGTCTGTGTGTGAGTGAGAGAGAGAGTGTGAGAGAGTGAGTGTGTGTCAGAGAGTGTGAGTGTGTCTGTGTGTGAGTGAGAGAGAGAGTGTGAGAGAGTGAGTGTGTGTCAGAGAGTGTGAGTGTGTCTGTGTGTGAGTGAGAGAGAGAGTGTGAGAGAGTGAGTGTGTGTCAGAGAGTGTGAGTGTGTCTGTGTGTGAGTGAGAGAGAGAGTGTGAGAGAGTGAGTGTGTGTCAGAGAGTGTGAGTGTGTCTGTGTGTGAGTGAGAGAGAGAGTGTGAGAGAGTGAGTGTGTGTCAGAGAGTGTGAGTGTGTCTGTGTGTGAGTGAGAGAGAGAGTGTGAGAGAGTGAGTGTGTGTCAGAGAGTGTGAGTGTGTCTGTGTGTGAGTGAGTGAGTTTGTGTGAGTGCGAGTGTGTGTGTGTGTGTGTGCGCGAGTGTGTGTGAGTGTGCGAGTGAGTGTGAGTGACTGTGTGTGTGTGTGTGTGTGTGTGTCTGTGTGTGAGTGAGTGAGTTTGTGTGAGTGAGAGAGTGTGTGTGTGTGTGTGTGCGCGAGTGTGTGAGTGAGAGAGTGAGTGTGTGTGAGTGTGCGTGTGTTCCCCTCAGTGCTGATGCTGTGTTCACATCAGTAGTGTCTCACTCTCATGTCATTGTGAAGTCATGTGACTGTGTCTCTGAATGTTCACTGATTCTGAAATGAACAGAAAGCTGTGTCTCAGTTCAGAGGCTGAAGCGAGTGTTGTTAGCAGTGCAGTGACCAGCAGAAGTTACATTTGTAAAAGTGATATTCAAGCGTCTGAAAACTAAACGGCTTCCAGCCCATCACGAATGCAGCTTTTTTAGCTAAATTTGCTATTCACTTATTCACCTGAGCATATAGGTCTACACATGCATGATTTCCACTGAGATTCCAGATGCTGCTGTTGGTTATACAGTTATTAGTCTAATTAACACTTTTACACAAAAATTAATTAGGATTCAAACACTTCAAACACTCACCTTCAGAAATGCTGAACAACAGCGACACCAACTGGAAAGACTCAATAACAACAACAACTGCAGATCTGTTTTTAAGGAAGCAGGGTTACTTCATGTTAGTAGAGTGAGTGTTGTACTTCTTTCTTGAGTTAAAATTTTTATTATTTTGAGTTGAACCTCCTCTACAGTTAGTTGAGCTTTTTAATTTTATTTTAATAATTCTGTAAAATAATTTAAAACTTTTGTTTTTTTTGTCACTCCAGAAATTAAGACAACCATAAATATTAGTATTGTAATTTTATAGATGTTTTATAAAATAAAATTATTTATTATTATTATTAACAACAGCATCAACAACAATATAAAATAATTAATAAATAATAATTATTGTTAAATAATTTTTTTTAATTTTATAATACATTAGTTTTAAAACAAAAATAATATTTGAATGATAATAGTAATACTATTTTTTGTTGTTGTAATATGGTGATTTTGAATGGGGAAGATATGATATCTGATATTTCTTCTGAGTGAGTTGTTGACACGCAACACATTTCCGGTGAAAGCAGGCATACTGGCGTTTGCGCTGTGTTTTCTGCTGTGTGTGTGTGTGTGTGTGTGTGTGTGTGAGCGATCAG